GGAGGCTGAGCTCACGGTATGAAATAGTGGTCTTCTCCAGTTCTCTACTGGTTTCTTGTTTTTGTAGCTGGGCGTCTTCCAGCTCTTGACCACATTGGAGTCTTGTGCTTCTGTCCGTAAAACATTTTGTCCTCACTTCACACAACCGGGGGCTCTGCCTCTGAGCCACAGCCGCCCAGAATTCAATTCATACCCCGAATAAGAGCCAAACAAAAAGCAACATCAATTTATGTGCACTTCTCTGTAAGTCCAGGTCAAGAGTGAGCAATATGATCATGCTCAAAACAGAGCTTATCTTGTATTCATTATCGCCAATTGAAATCCCTTTAATCTCTGGGTCCTCTCCTATTGCAGGCGGGGCTTAGTGGGCAGCCTTGACGACAACCTCTCTCTAAGCTTGATGGATTGAGTTAGGTGACCATTGATTGTCATCCTAGCAGTGGGGTTTGAATAAAGTGATCTAATACACTGAACAGATTTCTCATTAAAGCCAAAACGTTGCAGTACTTGCTAAAGGTAGCCCCATCCAACCGAATCAAACGCTTTCTCTGGATCTAAACTGATCATAATATTATATATTATATATATTATATTAATTATATATATATATTAATATTTCCCTTGATCACATAGTCTACCACATGGAGTGTTCGTCTAAAATTGTCCTGTGTTTGTCTTTCTCGGACTGTTTGGTCTGGGTCTATCATTTCAGAGACAATGTGTTCTATCCTTTTGGCCATAATTGAGGCAAATAACTTATAGTCCGTATTCAAAATGGATATTGGCCTATATGAACTAGATTCTCCTTTGTCCTTGCCTTCCTTAGGAATTATTGATATTACCACCTCGCTCCAAGATTGGGGCATCTGGCCATCCTTGAATGTTTTGTACCATTCACTAACAAATCCATCTGACCCTGGTGTTTTGTTGGTCTTTAGTCGAGAAACAGCACCACCCAGTTCAGCGGTTGTTATCTCAGCAGTCAGTACATTATTCTGATGTTCTCCTATTGAGGGAAGATCCAGAGATTTTAAGAACTCATTAATTACTGAGTCATCAGCTTTGTCAGGTTAAGTAAATAAGTCCTCATAGTAGGTTTCAAAGGCTTGCTGAATTTCTTCTAGTTTGTGGCAGACTTTGTTGTTTTTTGGGTTTCTTATTTTGTAAACAGTTCTTTCTGCTTGTTACTTACGTAGTCTCCAAGACAGAAGCTTCATAGCCTTTGGGCTGGTTTTATAATATCTTTTTTTTTGGTAAACCTCATTTCTTTCTTATTTTCTTCGTCATAAATCTGATTTATTTCTTGTTTAATACATTTTAGTTGGGCCCATACTTGTGGGTCTCTTTGAGTCGAATGTTGAGTTTCTAGGTTCTTCAGTTTTGACTGCAGCTCTGCTAAGTGTTTATGTTTCTTCTTTTTCCTATGGGCTGCAAAGGCTATGAGTTTACCCCTAACTACCACCTTCCAAGCATCCCACAGGACATTTGGTGATACTGTTCCATTATCATTATTTAGCAAGTATTCTTTTAACTCTTCTTTTATATATTCCTTACAAACTCTATCATTCAATAAGCTAGTATTGAGCCTCCATAGAGTATTCTTCCTTTTAGTATCTAGATGCAGAGAGGGGTATACTCCTGAATGGTCTGAGACATCTCTAACACCTATCTTGCATTCACTTATTCTATGTCTATCTGCAGCTGAGATAAAAAAGTAATCCAATCTGGAATATTCTGTGTGACAAGGGGAGTAGTAGGTAAACTGCTTTTCTGTGGAGTGTAGGTCCCTCAATATATCTATCATACCGAATTCCCTTAGCATTTTCCGCATGAATACTGAGTTTTGTTTTTTTCTCTTGTGTAAATTTGTCGTGTCAAGTTTGGGTTGCGATTGGATATTCAAGTCACCCCCAGATTAAAGTTCCTGATGACTCTATGGTTAATAAGTCAAATGTTTTTTTTAATATATGCTTGTCATGCCCTGGTAACATACATTTAACGGAGTGACTTCTTTGTGGTCAATCTTGCCTTTGACTAAGATATAGCAACCTTCCTTATCTTTAATTTGAGCAATGTATTGGAACTGTAACTTGTTTGAAAATAAAATTGCCAATCCCCTCTTACGCCCAGTTTTGTGAGAGGAATAAAATGTGTTAATAAACCCCATCTTTTTTAATTTTTCATGTTCTGAGTTAGAGAGATGTGTCTCTTGCCAAAAAGCCACTTTGATATTTTCCCTTTTAATTTTAGCAATAACTTTACTCCTTTTCACTGGATTATGTAACCCATTCACGTTAAATGTTATTATCTTATATTCCTGATAGTCCATTTGCTTTGTTTCTTTGTCTCAATAATGGCCTGTTGCAACCTGTAACACCTTACCCTTAAACTTGGGTAAAAGCAACTATTGAAATATGAACAGTACAGAACACAGTGAGCATACAACAAATTGACTTCCACAATTAGAGAACTTACATGCTCTTTAAAACTGAGGGGAAGCCTGATTTAACAAAAGGGCCCCTCTTTGAAGTTACAAAAGTTACTACAATTGACATTGTACTCTACCATGGCAGTCTTTCCACCAATCCACTCTCCCTCTGTAAACAAACCTGCTTATCTCAAGCTAAAAGTCAGTCTTTAAATCAAAGTAAAGAAGCAGGAGGGAGAGCTTAACAGTTGTTACGAGTCATTTGCTAATTATCAATTCACCTGACGGGGCTGAGGGAGATCAGACACATTCAGACCCTGCCGTTGGGGTCAGGTCTCCGGGTGGTTGTGGCGGAAAGCGCGCAGTTTCTCTCGTATCTGCTCTGGGTGGGATCCTCATTGGCGACGCTTGTCCCCGACCCTCTCCCATACCAGGTCCTGGAGCTGGACCGGGTTCATTTTGGTCAATGCGGAACCCCCTTTTCCGCAGGTCGTCCACGGCTTCCCTTGTGTCGTTGTAAATCCTGGGTCCACCGTCCAAAAACACCTTGAGCTTGGCAGGTTGGGGGGTCAGGTGGCCAGCTCTGACTTCAGTTATTTGACCACAAAGTCCATCATGTTATTTTCTTCCTCACCTTCATAAATGCGGATATTATTTCACCGTGAAGGAGCCTCCAAATCTATCATTTTTGTTTGGATGAATTCCTGTTTCTGCTGCATTTGTCGGAGCGAATCCTCCACGCTCCTCCAGCTCGGCCACACGCTGTTCAGCTTCCTCGACTCGCGTTGTTGTGTTTTTCAAGTCCCCTGATATCTCCCAGGGCCTGATTAATCTCGTCTCGAAGTTCAATCAGCTCCTTCTTCAGGTCCTCTCTCAACGTAGACCGGAATGAGTGCGTACGTCGGAGCACATCGCCTAAATCTCTGTGTGAATACTAGCTAGTTTCATGCCAACCGGAAGTTGGCCTAAAGACTTTTGAAGGTAACAAAAACACAACGATTCTTATTTTCAGGTGATTATACATGGATGAAAAAATACCTGTGAATATTTTATTCAATTCCTTCCAAGAGATGCTCCTAAATGTTACACAGTGGACATTTAACCCATCAAATTAAGTTGTTTGTTAATGAGATAATAATAATAATTTGTTGTTTGCTGCCATAAAACTTTGAGTTTTCTAAGCTTTCTCTTTTTCACAGTGCATGTGTGCGCACACACATAGTGACGGTGGTAACAGGAGATAGTTCTCATAGTGGCTGTGATGACACTAGGAGGTGTTGCAAGAGTGGCTGAAATACAGTAGTGTGTGTGTGTGTGTGAGTAGACAGGCAGGGCGATAGAGTGGGTGAAGTGGGA